AACGCCAAACCCTAAACCCTAAACCCTAAACCCTAAAGCCCTAAAACCCTAGACCCCTAAACCCCTAAAACCTAAACCCCAAACCCTAAACCCTAAAGCCCGAAAGCCCTGAACCCTAAACCCGTGGGAAGCGACGAACAGGTCGGAAGTGCAAGGGCCAGGTCGGCGGACGCATAGCTCAGTAGTGTATAACGTAGTACCCTAAACCCTAAACCTCAAAACCCTAAACCCTAAACCCTAAACCCTAAACCCTAAGTGTCTAGTAGAGTATGATCGTCACAAGGAACACCAACTGTTTTCATGCTTCGGTTCCAAACGAAATCAAAGACCGAACGTGGCAAAAGCTGCTGTGCAGCCTCCAAGCCTTCTACTGGGTTCTTGTTAAGGGATTTAATTTAAGTTACCATTATAGGGATCTCTAGTAAATAATATGGTTTCCTTATTATGGTAACTTAAATTAAATCCCTTAACAAGAACCCAGTCTATGACCTATAACTCCCTGTTTCAAAGGACATGTCTAAACCCTAAACCCTACACCCGAAAGCCACAGGAAGGAACCCTCAACATGCAAAACTTTTGGTCTCAACAAAGGAGTTAGAGTGAGAGTTTGGGTGTAGACGGTGTATGGAATTGGGTCGAGACGGTGTAGAACACTCCAAAAAAGCAGATCACGTCACATGCGAAAGAAACGACATTGCCGCGACTAAGCTTGCACAGCTTAGCGTCTAGGACTTAGGTATTCAGACCCTAAATCCTAAACCCTATAAACCCCTGAACCCTATACCCTAAACCCCAAAACCCCTAAACCCCTAAACTCCGAAACCCTATACCCTAAACCCTTAAACCCCTACACCCCTAAACAACAAGAGTTTTGCAGGTTCCAGGCCTTGGGACTCAACCCTAAACCCTAAACCCTAAACCCTAAACCCTAAACCCTAAACCCTAAACCCTAAACCCTAAACCCTAAACCCTAAACCCTTTGCGCCGCGTTGCATAGGATCCTGTAGGGCTTAGGGTTTAGGGTTTAGTAGGGTTTAGGGGTTTAGGGTTTGGGGTTCAGGGTTTAGTAGGGTTTAGGGGTTTAGGGGTTTAGGGTTTAGAAGGGTTTAGGGGTTTAGGGTTTTGGGTTTAGTAGGGTTTAGGGGTTTAGGGTTTTGGTTTTGGGTTTAGGGCTTAGAAGGGTTGGGGTTTGGGGTTTAGGGTTTAGTAGGGTTTAGGGGTTCGGGCTCAGGGCTTGCTGGGGCTTTAGGCTTGGTGGGATTTAGGGCTAGTGTCTAGAGATGTTTTGGGGTGTTTGGTTCGCATCTCTACCCTACACCTAGACCTGCTGTAATAATTAGAATAGGGTTTTGCGTTATAGTACAATATACCCCCCAACCCTTCTCTAATTACAGTGCAATCACTGTACAAGAAACGATTGGATAAGAAACGTAGGGGCTACGTCAGCCGGACAGCACCAAAAAACAGAAATCTTAAACTGCCTTCTAGCTAAGAAATGAAGGGTACCCAACGTTTTAGGATCATTTCTTATTTCTGTGGTTTTCCAGGTCCTGAAACTACAACATGTAGCAGAGGCATAAGACATGTAGGGTGCAACGTTTCTTATTTTGGCGGGCTTCCAAGCCCTGAGCCTACGGCACACGGCAGGAGCCAANNACCCAACGCTGGAAGCTGGCATTTCTTATCCAGCAGATGCACTGTACTATAAGGCAACTATATGAAACCCTAAGTTCCGCCCTTGGCCTGCTCGTCGGCTTGAGATGCCGCCAGCTTCGCAAGATCCGCTTCCCTCTTTCTCTCCTGGGTCGGGTACGGGTCGAGGCCGGGGCGTAGGGCTCCTTTAATGAAAGGAAACTACAGGTGGGGAGTTTTGGGTCTATAGGGCTTCTATAAGGCGTCTACAAGGTATATAGACCTTTTATAAGGCTCCTATAAAGGTAACTACCCAACTGAAGATGTCCTAGATTCACGGGCTCCTTCGCTCCCGACAGGGATCCCATAGGGGTTTAGGGGTTTGGGTTAGGACAAAGGCTTGTGGGGATAGGCAGGTAGATCCTGTTAAGGAACCCTTGCACAGGAGCCTATCCATAAGAAAATGGGGTTTAGGGCTTAGGGTTTAAGGTAAACCCTAAACCGTAAACCCTAAAACCTAAACCCTATCTATAAGGAACTCTAGTGGGAACCCTTGCAGACAGGGTTTCGGGGTTAGGGGATAGGTTTTGGTGGGGGTTGGGGTTCAGGGCCCAGGTTCTTTATAGGCCTTGCAGCGAAAAATGCCGTTCAAGGGGTTACTCAGAGGGCTTAGGGCTTAGAGTTTAGGGTTTGGGGTTTAGGGTTTAGGGCTTAGGGTTTAGGGCTTGGGGCTTACGGTTTAGGGCTTAGGGTTTAGGGCTTAGGGTTTAAGGCTAATTAGAGGGCTTGCTACACAGGCTCCTCTAAGGCTTGGGCTTCGGGCTCGAGGATTCAAGGGCTTCTAAACCCTGAACCCCTATAAACCCTAAACCCTAAAACCTAAACCCTAAACCCTGAACCCTAAGACCCTAAACCCTGAACCCCTATGAACCCCAAACCCAGACCCGAAAGGGTTCAACGGTTGCAAAAGATTCCATGGGCACAGTCGGGTTTTAATCTTCGGCTTCAAGTAGGGACCCCAACAGCACCTAAACACACACCATAAGGGTGAGCTAAGGCGGGGTTTTTGAGCTCCGGCATCAGCTTTCACAAGGCAGAACCCCGGGGCAGCCTCGGGTGAAGGCTCGGGTGAGGCTGGGATGAAACCTCAGGTGGCTGGGACGATGCATGAGCAACAGCCAACCCACCAGCAACACTGCGATCATCTCCATCATCATCCCCCTCTGCTGAAGGTCGCCCCCATGAATCAGTCATGACATCCATGATGGGCTGCAGAAGTGTGTCCCGGAAGTTCTGCTGCCCCGTTCGGTAAGCACGAATGAGCTTCGATGTCACCCTTTTGCATCCCCATTCGTCCACGTACCACGTCTTTCTCGGCAGGTGGAGCTTGCAGCTCTGCCGAAGTTACACCATCACAGACAACTCGACTAACCTCCTGCCTAGTTGTGTCGGGGCACAGCTTTGAACTGAATACTCTGCGATGTTTGTATAGCAGCCAGACTAGTACTACTGAATTTTCCAGCCCTTGAACCCCAATACCACCCGATGCAAGCCCCATGATCACAATCCTCTGAAACTTCGATTAGGCTTTTGGGGTTCAGGGGTGCAGGGGTTGAGGGTTTGGGTGGTTTGAGGGTTTGGATATATCCTGCGAAACCCTAAAGCCCTGTACCCATCTTCTGCCCAGCGACAGCCAAAGACGAGAGGGCCTCAGGAAGAGATTTTCGTGAGTAGAGTTAAGGCAGGGTTGAAGGTTTGGGATTTTAGGAATGCATTGCATACCCTGCTTTCTGGTTTCGGATGTAGTGTTCGGGCTAGGATGTATTCGATGGTGTGTTACCGGACTTCTTTGTATTGTCCCTCAAAGCTTCAGAAAGACGTGGCTGAATGGAGGGGGGGCGGTGGAGGGTGGCGTTCAAATTTCATACTGCGGCGGAGGGCCTAGATGGCCTAGATACTGGCGTCTTATTCGAAAATGCAGCCCAAAAAGAAACTCCGAATATTCGATATCTGAGAGCCTTAGAGAAACCTAAACACTAAAAGCTATAACTTACCCGACACCCTAACCAACCCCAGGGCCCTGAACCGCAAGTATGTTAAAGCCTGCTGGTCTTCGCGGTGAACAGAGGCGTGGGCAAACCAGACATCCCAGGGTCTTCGCTTTTGGGTCTGTGCATTAGTTTTGGGTTTCCTACTTATTTAACAACACCTGAACTATCCTGAACTGAAACTCTTAAACCCTGAAAATTTAGACCTTTGCCTCCGCAGCCCTGAACCGCTGAACTACACTACAACCGTCGGCACCAAAACCCTAAACTCTAAACCCTAACCCCCAAACCTAAATCCAAACGATTCATCTCCAGACGCCGAACCCTCAAACCCAAATAATATGGGGAGAATAGGAGGGTATGTTATATATATATATATACACATGTAGAAAAATATGAATCATATATATATATATGTATACATACATACATACATACATACATACATACATACATACATACATACATACATACATACAAACATAAACATATATATATATATACTTATACTTATATATGTATTTTGATAAAGGACTCTGCGGAAAAAACTGTAATCATTGAAGCCCCCATATTAAGCCTTTGGCCTTGGCCCTGGACGGTATGAGACATGGTCGGGGGTTTAAGGCTTTTAGGGTTTAGGGTGTAGGGTTTAGGGTTTAGGGTTTAGGGTGTAGGTGTAGGGTTTAGGTTTTAGGGCGCACGGTTCCGTATAGGGTTGAAGGTTTGGAAGAAGATTGAACCCCCACAAACCCCTGATCCTTAGCCGTAAACCTTAAGCCCCACACCGCAACCCGATAAGCCCTAAACCCTGAAACCCCGCAAACCTAAACCCTAAACCCCTAAACCCTGAAAGCCCTGAACCTTGAAACCAAACCCTAAACTTCAACGCTGAAACCCTAAACACTCAACCCTACACCTTAAATCTCTCATGGCCTAAACCCCAAAGCCCCAAATCCTAATCCCTAAACATCCCTACAACCCGTAAGCCCTGAACCCAAAACCCTCCAACCCCAGAAACCCTCCTCCTGGCCTCCATCTTCCAGTTTTGGAAGCAGGCGCGGGCCGTCCCTTTCGTCTTCCCCTCGGCCCATCCTCGGTGGTTGTACTAGGCTTCCTGCTAAACGGTTCTATGTAGAACAGACCTTTGAAGTTTTTTCGGATTTGGGGTTTTATCAGGTTTAGGGCTGAGGGCTTAAAGGATGTAGGTTTAGGGAGTTTACGGCTGAGGCTCTCGATTTGCTCGTCCAAACAATGGGCTTGGCAGTGCTTCGGATGTTGTACCAGGTTTTACAGGGTTGCACAAGGTTTTTTTGCGTTCTATATTTCTTCATGGTAGTACATGCCCTTCAGAATCTAGCATAGAGCTCTGCGGGATATTATTGTGTAGTAAAATGTAGCTGTGGAGCTAGTGTTCAAGGGAGCTACGAGATCGTTCGAACTTTCGTGGAGTGGACAAACGAAACCAAGTTGTGGCCGGTGGACATACCTCTGACAGTCTGACAGCTACAGACTTCGAGCAGCACATCGCCCGTGCAGATCGTGTTGGATTGGCCGCGTGCCACGGAAATCCTCTTGTTCCGAAAGCACATCTGCCGCCTTTTCTGCGTGACCACCCGCACAAGCCAAAACTCGACTGCAGATTGCAGAGTCCGTTCTGCAGCAGCAACGCCTGGCTGCCTTTGTTGTAGCGATCCGCGGACACGTCCATGGTCCGTGCAACTCGCGCCAGGCTCGCCATGACGTCAGAGTGGCCAAGGGGACATCTAGGGTTCCATAAGGGGATACTATCACGAAGTATTCAAGATCCATGTATTGAGCCTTTGATTTATGGCTTCGAATCAAGGGCATGGGCTCAGGGTCTCGTGGATGTCTGGGGGGGGGGGGGGTTTAGGACTGAGGGTTCATGGTTACGTAGCGAGCTTGCAGGCAAAGTTGCGAAGATCACAGTGGTCTCTCCCCTGATGATGACATGATGAAACTCATCACCCGGCTCTGATACAGTTCAGAGTACTTTCCAGCCTGGTGAGCATCCTCGGCAAAGAGCTCTTTAAAAGGGAGACGGCGCGATCAAGGCAAATCAAAAATCTCTCCTTGCAGGTAGCAGTGTGGCTTCTCTGCATCTCCCGTTCCATGGCCATGATCTTGCTGGGACGCCCGTTGCCCCACACTGACAGGGAAACGTGCCTGCCCCGGGAAGAACCATAGGAAGCGCCGGTTCTGGTGCCGCGCTTCGTCTTTCCCGACTGCACCAAGCCATTGAGGGTGCTGGCATTCAGGCGGCGGTTTTGCCACCCTCGCCCTTGCTGCTCCCGAGCAAACCCAAACCATCAAGGAACTCGTAAGCTGCGTCCAGGTTGAAGGCGCTGCCATACCAAAGACGCGCTGGATAGGATTGCCCGGACAGCTTCTTGTCACCTGTTACAAGCACAAAGTCGCGCTAGAGCTGCAAGGTGAATCATGCAGACCTCCAACACTACCGGATGAGCTGTCGGGTCAGAGTCGCAAGTACCAGCTCAGCGACTCATCATGCACCATGAAACTTTCCCAGCGTCGGTTCCAGCCAGAAAAGCGCGTTTTTTTGACAAAGAATTATCGAACAGCCTCGATCGTGCCAACATCGAACAACCATCCAGCAGCAATAATCAGGAATCGACGAGCGTTCTTGGCTGTATCGTCTTTTTCTATGTTTTTACAACGCTACCGCAAACTTTCTGCCATAGACAGCATAGCTCGTGGCCAACACTTGTTCCAGACATTAAGGCCGTTGAAGAAGGAGCAAACAACCCCGAATGGGAACGAATGGGAAGGTATGGGAACGTGTAGGGACACAGGGCAGGTCTATTCAGCCCCGTCGGTTGAAATGTGTTTTTCCAACATATGCCGGCTCGAGCATTTTTGCCTGGTCTCCTTGTAGAAGCAGTTTAGCTGGAGCCTAGCATGCAACGCTTCTTCGTTGCCGAATCTGGGCCGTGGACTTCATGGCCGTCGTGGCTTTCATCATAGTCATCACCCGATGGCACCTTGAGACTTTGAGCATTGGGTATTAGCATCAGTGAATCGGGAAACTTCAACAGGCTCAACAACCCTAAATTATTAAACTCCAACTCTAAACCTTCCAGAGCGCTGCCAATGTGCAAAAACATCCCTCGTGCTCGCACGTCTCTTTCATGGCCTGTTTCTCTTCAGGGCTGTGCTTGTTTCGCTCATCTTGCTCATCCTACACAGTGGCTGTTGCACAACAACTCCAATCCTGATGAATCATGAACGCCGTGACGCATGAACAATATGAAAGGCAAGCACCCCTACCCGACGCGAAACCACGGCATACCCATTGCAAGTTCTTTCGTCAATACTATCCCACCGATCCCTCGGCCCCCCGGCCTGTAACACACGTGCTTCGGAGGTGTTCGCCGAAGACTCCGACTTGGCGCGATCTGTCACGCACACCAAGAACCACCCCCTCGTCCCTCCAGCCGTGTTTGGCACCCGCCTGCAAAATCTCTCCCGAGCTCATGGCAAGGTTCCTGTTGTTCTGGTTGGAATGTTCCCAGGCATGTTGACACGAGAATCACAAAAAGTCACGGCACTCAGTGGAGCAAGCCAGATCCTGGCCAACATGTATCCAAGTTGAGGGCAACACTGCAACAAGTTACAGCATTCAGCAGTGCAAATCTGCAAGCCTCAACATGGTGGCATTGGACTCACAGTTCTCCCATGAAAACGATCGTGTGGAAGCACAGCCTGTCTTGAAGTCCGCCATCGTGTGAGAGTGTTTGACAGCCTCAATGGCAACTTGGGCAGGGTCTCCGGCCTGCGTGCAAGAAGTGCTGGGGAGACTCTCCAGGCGGAAGCCGAAGAAGTCATCCGGCAAGACTTGCAAATTGGATGTCTCGGCCTGGCTCGGTTCCTGACTTTGTTGGGTTGGAGAGGATGCCAGTGCTGGTTGGAATTGCGACTCCTGGGCCGTTGACTGGCTGAGCTGCCAATTCTCCGGCAGGCTCTCCGGGACTGCGGACACCACGATACTTGAGATGCAATTGCACGCGTTTGGGCTTTAAGGGCTACGGTTTCGGGTATTGGGGTTCGGGGTTCAGGCTTGGATCTAGAAGCTTGGATCTTGTGTCGAGCCCAGGGTTAGGATTTACGATCCCGCGGGTGTGACCATGTCTGGGAATTCAAATTTTCTTCAGCACTTGCCCAAGAGATGCCCAGGCCCAGTGCATGGTTGTAAGGTGATACATTAAACCCTTAAACCTAATCATGGAACCCTGAACCCTAAACACGGAATCCTAAACCCTAAACCATAAGATTCAGGTGCTGATGCAAGGGCCTCAGTGAGCTCTGCACCCTTAGCCCCTGAAACCCTCAACCATAAACCCTAAGTCCCTAAACCCCTAACGGTTTAGGGTTTAGGGTTCAAGGTTGACCGCCTAAACCCTATGTCGTAAATCCCTAAACCCCAAGCCCTATAAACTTAAGCCTAAATCCCTAAATCGCTTAACCCAAAGCCCCAAATCTCATACCATGAAGCTGCAGAAACCGCTAGGGACCATGAGGGAAGTCTGTCGCCGACGCTTTGACTACAGCCTGCACCTGCCATTCGTGCATTCAGGACCCCGTAAGCACATCGCCTTGACCATGTGCGCGGTGTAGCGGTCGTTCAGACAGCAATTGTGCCAGCAAGTGAACCCTAAACCCTAAATCCTAAACCCTAAACCGTGCAGCCAGAGGGGACACGCTGGTTCCGCGTCTAATGGCATACCAAAAGCAGTCGCCTTTGCCAGGGTTCGGTTCCGGGAAGAATCCGGACAGCCGCAGTACATCGCCCACACAATGACAAGTCTCGGTTCGTCGAGCAGAGGGCAGGTGATGCATGGGTCCCAGCTTGGACAGCCCAACCCCCCAGGTACCTACTATATAGGGTACTAGAGCCCCTAGTGCCCTATATAGTAGGTACCTGGAGGGTTAGGGCAGAGTGCCTGAAGCACTCTCCTCCGCCTCTGCGGGGCCTGGGGACACAGCGAGGTTGGCGCAGGCGTGGATGCTTGCGGTTGTGGCGGAAGAACTTCCTGTACTGCGGAGCAGCAACGTTCAGAACTAAAACGGCTCTGTAAGTCTATCAGGGCATCCATAATGTGGATTTGGGTTTAGGGGCTCCCTTTGGCGGTCCCTTGAGGTGTTCCTGTCCCGAAAGCAGCGATTGGCCGTGAAACCATACAGCACGCTTCTATTCAGTACCCTTATAATTCATATAACTTCGAGTATCCTAAACCCTAAACCCTAAACCCTAAACCCTAAACCCTCACAGTACCCTTAAACGTACCCCTTTTGGGATGCCGGGGATCCATAGATCATCTGGGTAATCCGAGACGACGCGCGCTTCGCTCGTCGCTCCTGCCAAAAACGGGCTTCTCGAATGGTAACTATTAAGGTTCGCAGATAGAAGAGGCACTGACAGAAGGACCGTGGAGGTTTATTGTTTAGGGTTGTAGGGCTCAGGGCTTTTATGGTTTAGGGTTGTAGGGTTTATTTAGGGTTCTTGGGTTTAGGGTTTAGGATTTGTGGTTGACGGTGGCACTATGCATCTAGCTTGACAACGAGGCTATAGTATGCGCTACGCCCTACCACCCTAAACTTAGGAACTGCCTCGTGGATCTACAAAAATCATTAAGAGCCATGTGAGGTTGGTCGACGATGTTAAACTGACATGGAGGGCAGTGGAAATCTCTGCGTATTACAGCCCGAATTAATTCTAACTCCTACGCCTCGCATCCTCAAGCCTCACAGACACTACGACTCCAAGTATACAAATAGTACCTACTTTGGGGTCCAAAGTCTATATATGGTACCTACTTTGGTCATAAGGAAACTCTCTTGTCCAAAAACCGGGACCAAACAAGTTCATACTTGCTGAGGCAGAATAGAAAAGGCCAAATTGTTTAAAAATTCTGCCATTATTGAGCCCTAAAACCCTAAAACCCTACGCCCGTAAACCCCTAAATCCTAAGCCCTAAACCCCTAAACCCTAAACCCAAAGGCTATCTGGCTATCTTACCCCAACCCCCAAGTACCTACTATATAGGGTACTAGAGCCCCTAGTGCCCTCTATAGTAGGTACCTGGGGGGTTAGGGGTAGGGAAAAGCTCCAAGCACCCTCAACCCTAAACCCCTAAACCCTAAACCCAAAGGCTGTCTGGCTTAATTAGGGTAAAGCTCCAACCCTAAACCCTAAACCCTAAACCCTAAACCCTAAACCCTAAACCCTAAAGCTCCAAGCCCGCCCAACCTGGAGGGCGTAGTGGGACCAGGATCTCAGGGCCTGCGCCCGCGGAGAGTTTTGCGTTTTGAGCTTTGGGAGAAGGAGATCAGGGTTTAGCGTTTAGGGTTT